ACTTCTAGACCATATTAGATGGCAAGAAAGGACATTCAAAATGCTAAACAACTGAAAAATTAAAATGGAGGAAAAACAGTTGATACAAGCGAGGAACTGTGCAGTTTTTGACCAAACAGCATTCAGTTAATGACGGCATAAGGCCACAAATCGGGGAAAAGTGAAAGTTCATAAACCAAAATCCCATTTTGCAGATTTTTATGATAGTTGATGGACAGAGGAGAGCGGGAGGACAGCAGAGAAAGAAGAGGAGAAAAGACTGAAGAGATATGGAATTTTGCGACATTGTCATACGAATCTCGGGATGCAGCCGCCATTTGCACTTTGTCCTAAAATTTTAAAAACAGAGAAGATACCATTGCTATTAGCAGCTCTCTGAAAGCGATAACGCTTTTTTCATCAGACACATTTGATGGAGCAGGACTGTAGAGCCACTACGGCAAAAGCAATATGAACGTAGCAAAACAAAGGAAATCGTACTTTATTCCGTAGACTTCATTACTAAATCACTGTCATTATTATTATTATTTTTATTTTGCTGAATAAATAAAATGTAGACTTTTTTAAAGTAAAAGAATGGGGAAGCGGCTGTCTAAATCGATAGAAGAATGGAATAACACAGTAAAATGCCACTTGAGCAGAAAAATTATGGTACAAATTTTTTCGACGTCTAAGCAACCAGTTTCGAATTTCAGCTCAACTATGAATGTTAGAAAAGGAACCTTTCGTCCAAGAGAAAGAAGAGTGACGCATACGGAGAACAGGTCGCGACCTTCGAACAGATCCACGGACTGAAAAGTCTCCTCGGTGGGGACACCAATCTTCTTGGCCCAGTTTACGAACGAATTAATATTTTCCATGCAAGCGAAATTGGAAATCGGCTTCTGCACTTTCTTTATTGCATTAGGTTCGATCGCGTTCGCCAATCTGAAACACTGCTCACTGTTTGGGGGTGCCGACTTGTCCACTGTTTGAGGTTTGAGGGAATCATAACCATAAAAGCAGGCTGGCTCCCCCGACTCCAGAAAGGGTACAGTATCACTAAACTTCCTTTGTATTTGTTCTTTGTGAGAGGCAAAGGCACTTCGGAAGTTTTATGTTGTATTCCAACAATTCTGCATTTTACTGACCAATGACTTACTTGCAAAGCAAAGTGCCGTCTTTTAACAGTTTTGCAAAGTTTTCGGGCGACCCATCTGTGCTGATGTTCTCTCCGCTCAACTTCTTGATCCACTCCAACAGTCCCTGCGCTTCCTGGTCATTGAATTTTGACGCTTGCTGAAATTTTGTAATGCAAATTAAGAATTTTCTTTCTTTAGGACAAAACTGCTCCTCGCTTAGCGAAATTCATTGTCACTTTCACAACAATGATAGGTGGTGAAGATGTGGATGAGCGAGAAGAATTCACAAGTTATTAAAATCGTCATTTCTATGTGAAATTACGAATGCAAAAACTCGTGAGCCATCATATCATAACTGCTTGAAAGTCAAATTATATTCCAAGCTATAATTAGCAATAACTATAGTTAGCAAGTTAAGAGACAGCTGTAGTCATTTTTTTTTCGAAGTACATTGAGAACGACAGCATTCACCCTCACTTTGTTTTGGGATCATGCCTCATATCGTACAGCCCC